GCGGCAGCTCAACCCAAATCAATGTCGTCTCACAGAATGGCCGCCGATGCCAAATCTGAGGCGGAATCTGAAACTAAATTGGAACTTCAGGATGTAGCTGAACCGAATCCTAAATCCAAGGAAGAGACCGATGCCGAGGACGAACCCGAAACCGATAAAACCATGGCAGAAATGAAGACCGAAACAACGGGAGAAAATTCCAAAATCACGTCGGAAGAAGAAGATTCTCTGCCCAATATGGACAAGGAGTCGGAGGACAAATCCAAAGTCTTGAAGGAACGGAATGCAGAACTCAAAACCGACGGAGATGACGAAGAAGAATCAGACGCACCCGACATGGTCACGGACGGGAAAGCAAGGATGGAAACCCTCGGAGACAATGACTTAGAGAAGACCAACATGCAGGCCATTCTCGAGATGGAAAAGCAGTTCAACGAGACAGAAGAGAGCGAGGAACAGCACGAGGAAGAGCCACGAGCAACAGGTACACCACCGAGCATGATCTCTGATGATGTAATGGACAGCATCTACTTGCGAACTGCTGACTCCAGTGAAGAGGAGGGTGATGGTGGTGATAGCGAGGAGGCAGGTAGTGGAGAAAACAAAGAAGCGATGGATGACGACAAAGCCATGGATGGTGAGAAGAATGATAACATGGAGAGTGAAAAGGAAAAAGGAGGAAATGACGAACCGAAGACTCAAGGAAACAATATTGGGAAAGCCATGCATACGGCGAACGAGACACCCAAGGCTGACATGACAAACGAAAAAGACGAAAAGGCTAACTCAGAAGAAGAGGAGGAGGAGGAGAGTACTGATTCCCCTGCTCATTCTGAAGATGACGGACACAAGGAAGAAAATGAAAATGTTGAACATATGGAAGTGAGAGTGGACACGAATGTGGAGGTGAAGGATAAAGAACCTTCCGAAACAGTAACAGATCACAAAGAGGCTGACAAGAATGAGATGGGAAAACCAGAAGTCAAAACAGAACACACTCGGATCCACTCTCCAACTAACCTAATCCACTCGGAAGTAGATCTGGAAGCCACGCGTGAAAACGAGAAGGCGAGTGACTCCAAAGAGGAAGATGGACAAAAAATGGAACGAGTTAGCAACAAGCAAGAATCAACAGTCAAGACAGAGGCCCACAGTCCTATCCACTCTCCAACTAACCTGATTCATTCTGAGGTTGACCTCGAAGCCACCCTCAAGAACGGGGAGATGAGTGTTTCAAAGGTGGAAGATGGAGGAAAAATGGAAGAGGAAGAACCTGCAGCTGAACCAGAACACAGTGCAGAACATGTAAAAGACACAGAAGCTCATATGGAATCAGGATCAAAAACTGAAGAGCCAGAACAGAACACAGAATCAATGGAGCAAGTAGAGGAAACCACAAAGCAAGATAAACAGTCAGAGGTTGAGGCACAAGCCACCACAGATGCAGAGACTGAGGTGCACGATAACCCTAAAATGAGCAAAGATAAAATGAATGCTGACAATATTGTTACAGATGAGTCTCCCAAAGCAAAGTCCATGTCGAGTGGAGGAGCCAGCAATAAAGTAGTGGACGAAAGTGATATGGCTGAACCTGAGCCTAAGGCAGAGGTTGAACCCGAACCTGAACCTGAAGTTAGGGCAGAAGCCGAGCCCGAGGCAAAAGCCGAACCTGAACCAGAAGTCAGGACCGACCCTGAACCAGAGCCAAAAGCTGAGGCTGAACCCGAACCTGAAGCAGAATCTGAACCCATGGCTGAGACTAAACCCAAAATGAAAACTGAAGCTAAGCCCGAAAACAAGGAAGACAAAGTTGATGTAAAATCAGATCTTGAGACGAAACCCGATGCGGAACCCAAAGCAGAGGCCGTTCCTGAGCCCGAAGCAGAATCCGAACCACATGCTGAGCCAGGAACAGAAGCCCCCAAAGGAACAGAACAGGATGCACCTGCAGCTCACAAGGAGGAAGAAACAACCACAGAACACGAAACGAATGAAGAGACCCATGCTGAAAAGCACGAAAAGCCCACAGCAGAAGACTCACCTGACAGTGAAGTGAAAAAGGACAAGATGACTCCTCCAGTATTGGCAAAAGCCAACTCCCCTGAAGGACTTGGGGAACAGGAATCACAGGAAATGCTGACCCTGAGAGACTTGGTCCTCACGACAATGTCCGGCCTTCCGAATGACCCAAGGAGACCTATCGCCACCACACAGAAACCACCAAAAGAGGTCAAAGTTCCTAAAGAAAAACCAACAAGTACCACAGTCGCTCCCATTGCAGTCAAAGTCAACAGTATGCAAGCCCACGGTGCAAAACCCAAGGATGCTGGTAAAGAGTAAAACGGGTTAATAAAAATCCCCAAATTATCTATACGATAAGGCTTATCACAGATAGTTTATGCTGCAATTTCAAAGGGTTCTCTTCCTCCCTGTGCTCTTGGGGGTTTGCTCAACAAAAAGTTCACAAAACAGAGTCAAAATTACACATGAGCCTTTGTGTAACGATAAGTTTTGTTGTATGTCTACTTTTCATTTTACAATCACCTTTCCTTATCTCTGTATATGAAAGAGAAAAGTAGTATTAGTCCGTGTTGAAATTCAGTATGATTAGGTAGACATACGCCCAAATCAAGTCAAACATCTGTAACGAAGGCTATGAAAGATAAAAACAAATAAATCATAACCTATATTTATAGCCATAGTACTCATACGCCAGGTTATTAGTAGTCATCTGCCGTATTGCATAACATGAACTCTGTTTAGACCCCATTTTGAATATATATCGTTGTATTCCTATTTTTCCTGACCTCTTTGGAAAATAACAAAGGACAACATAGTGTTAGCAGGGGAGGAGAGCCAGTAAGATATACATATTTCAGCTCTTTCTAAAAGTTAATTGCAGGTGATGAAATACTATATGTAATTTTTTGCAGACTTATGAATTCTCAGAACGGAAAAACATGCATAACAGTCTGCATCTTGTCAGTCATACAGATGGAATTTACTTGGCTATGAAATATCAAATCCCTTATGTGTGTTGTCTGATCTGAATAAATAAAAAAATATATATATATATGTATATATATATGTATATATATATATATATATATATATATATATATATATATATATATATATATATATATATATATATAATATATATATATATATATATATATATATATACATATATATATATATATATATATATATATATATATATATATATGTACACACATACACATATCATAAAGAGATGAAGTAAAAAAAAATGTTCCGTTTAAGGAATGAAAACAAGCTGCAGGCTGTATGTTTAGTGTTCTAAAAAGGAGATCTGTGTATATAGGTTTTATCATTCACCTAAATAGCTAGTAGGTCTCAATACTCTGGTGAACATTATTTTTACAAATAAATCTCATCACACAACATGAGGTTTTAAAAGAGAGAGAGAAAAAAAAGATGTAGCCAAGTGCATTGTGATTTCCCAATGTCTGCAAATCTGTAAAAAGACAATCTATTATTTAGGCGAAGAATTATTTCCGGTGGTTATCTTCGGAAAAGAAAGAAAGAAAAAAATCGAGATGTATTTGGTATTATATATTCTTCTGTGTTTGATCCATTCCATTTTATTATTTCCTGTGACGTGGTGATGTAATAATATCACTATTCTTATAGACAGATTTAAAGACTTTTGTAGTTGTCGATCTTCACGAATATAGCAATAATGCAGTTGAAGGTTTGCATGTAGCAAGAATAAATCCATTGAACTTTTTATTTATAGTAGGAAACAGGATGTCCCAAAATCTGTGTTTGCATTAATCTTCATAGTGTGAGATGCATGTTCAAACCTATTTATATTCACAATTTTCTAATAAAATCCACAGAATATCATGGGTCCTTTATTTAATCATGAAATACAAGGTAATACTCAAAAGGTAAAAAAGTTGGTCCTATTTCAAAGTGGATTCTATAAAAAGGGCCTGTCTGTTGAGGATGCAGTACGGTGATAGTTCCATTTCTACCCTGACTTTGACCCCTACAGCTGATGCCACTACTAACTCAGAGCGGAGTTGACTGGGAAACATAACCTGTGATCTTCCACACAGCTATGTCATCTCAAAAGCAAAGTCATTTACTGTAAATTATGCTGACCAAAGACTTTACAAGAAAATACTAGCAAATGAGTACCATATATGTAACTAGCAAAATCCTATATACTCATCCATCATATGATTGTCTTATTCCTGTGAAATATCATGTCTTGCCTGATAAGAATATAACACAGCAAGTTAGAATTAGATTTTAAGATCAGAAAACAGTTCATGATGCTCTCACTGGGGAAATTTTCTAATGAAATCATAAATTTGTTTATAGACTGCAATTTTTTTCTAATGATACATCCAAAATTATAAAATGAAAAGGTATTGCTATAAAAGAAAAATACTTTAACAGTACAAGCATTACTACTAGTGGTGCTGAAGGAAAAAAAAAAACACATAGATGGCAGAAAGACTATACACACACACACACACACACACACACACACACACACACACACACACACACACACACACACACACACACACACACACACACACACACACACACACACACACACACACACACACACACACACACACACACACACACACACACACACACACACACACACACACACACAAATATAACCTAAAGCAGTGGTTCCCAACCTTTCTTATTCTCTGGCCTTGGACTAATATGTAATAATCTCCATGGCCCCTTTCAGTATCTCTTTTCAGATTCACTTATTACTAGTCATGAATAGAGTAATGGTGTCAATAACTATAGGAAAAGAACACTTTATGGAAAGATTCCTATTTATTGATATGCGTGAGATAATTATATGTAGGTACTGTAGGCGAGATAAAATTCAGTTTAATTTGATGTTATTATTTTCATATTGCTCCATGTCCCCCAAGTTGGGAACCCCTGACTTAAACAATGATGATATGAAGACTAAGAATATATTTAGCTCAAGGATTGCAAAGCTTAATTTTATGGCCACCCAGGAGAGCAAATTTAGTAAACTGCTATTTCAGCTTGAATAATTCTAATTACCTGTATTGATAGTACAGGTAATTTAGCAACATTTATAACTCTAACTGTGTTTTGTCCACTGTGTCCATTTATGAGAGCAATAATTGACATATTTTGTCTTTTAAGGTATAATTACTGGTGCTGTAATAATATAATATTCATTTCAGTTCTGTTCAGATAATGCATTATTAGCCTCAGTGTGTTAGAGGAACTTTTTTGGCTTACTTTCTATTTTCAGGTGAAACTTTACATTATTTTTAAAATTCCATATTTCTGACACCTTATGTGGATGTACTGTTATTAGATAAAGAAATATATCCAGTCTATTTGCACTAAATGTAAACTTGTATCCTTATCATTTAACTAGTATCATTATTATAAATTTAACAGCATCTTTATCTTATTCTTTAGATATATTTTCAGATATAAAGTTTTTATTAGCCAAGCCTGAGTACCCCATCTAGTGATACTCCTATGTAATTGCAGGCCACTTTCATCCCAAAAAAATGTAAAGAAAACATACAATTATTGAAAAAAAGCATTCAATATACATTCAATGAATAAATAAATATGCTACAAAAGACAGCTAGAATTGATAAGCACAAGTCTGGGGAAGAATATCATAGCAAATAGAGAAATGTGGTTTACTTACAACTGTTTAACCTAACCTGCCTTTTTTCATTTTCCTCTGATGATCAACAGCACAACATTGTCAATGCTGTATAACTGGTAACAAAAATATACTTAACAAATCCACATCAAATTATTGTCTTTCAGTGATTGAGAAATTATACATCCTACTATGAATAATGACCTCTTTAAATACCTCCATTTTACTATGAACAATGGGATAAGTATACCCCTACCATGCTGTATGAATTAAACATATGCTTACTATGCACTACAAACTACAATGTACTATGAAATATGCACCTAATAAGTACTATGAACTGTGCATCTATTCCTGTATCTGTGATGTTTTATATTTAATATTTAAACATAAAATTCAATAAGCTTTAATCCTTATAGTTTAATCTACCATTTCATTACATATTTTTTTTCTTATTTACATAGATTCTTTAAGTAATATTCTATTACATTCTTTTGTAAAATTACTGGTAACAACGAACTGGGATTTACAATTACCAAATATTGATTCAGGAAGTTTTCAGTAAATATTATGAAAAAGGGAAACTAAATCAGCATCTCACGTCTGCAGCAAAGAATCAATAATAAAACACAAATGAACCAATTTCGTTTTACAACAAAATAATAATAAATAATATCACCGTTTTCTTTCACCTCGTCTGTCAAAGCAGCTTCTCCTGGCATTGTAAGAAATCAACTATTGTAGGATGAACACTCTACTCTTTTACAACCCCAAAGTGCTACTGACTTGTACATTATGCAATTCCCTTTGTAATCTTTACTTCCAACAACTTTAGAACTCTTCTATCATTATCAGAAAGAAGTTGAAATGTAGTGCGATGATGAAAATTTAAATATCCGATAAACCTACTGGCTATCGTGAAGAATTTATGGTTTAACTTCATATAACTTATATAGGATGGAAGAAAGAAGTATTTTGTTATTTCTTAAAACTTTATTTGGACTAAAGTAAATGATCACAAGTAAATAGACTAATAAATCTACTGTTACTATAGTATCAACAAATGACCATTTAATATAATGTGCACAGCTGTGAACATCATCAATTTGAACATCAATATGAAATAAATATTCCAGCAACTCGCTATCTTATTGTACAATAGGAGTTGGTTGTCTCTGTAACACATATAAAATTCATTAACAAAAATAATACTGGAAAATGGAAATCAAAAAAGGTATTATTCTCCTATTTTACAATCTCTTTCCTGATAATAAGAAATAATTGTTCAACCCTATCCATTTTTTCTAGCCATAACAAAAATAACTCTTCTGAGTCTTACACCAAAAATAAGTAAATCACAATAAACATACTTCTACCAAAAGCCAAGCAATGTAACTAAAAAAGAATTAGTCAGGCAATTATTAGCTAATTATTATCATCACATCATTCATAACTAGAACATAATTATTTTCCTTCCTTTTGCAAACTACGTAAAAATCAAAAGTTATGAGCCCAATCCAGTATATGAAATTATGAAGAAGTTAAATACAAATAATATAATCAAAGAAAGTTGAAGTGTGATAGGAGGTAATCATATTTGTGCTTTTCTATCACCAAAGGTACCCTACTCCTTCACTAAAGAAATATAAATGTAAATAATCTACAAATTAAGGAAAATGTTTGCTTATTGAGGATTATCATGCCTTTTTGTAATTATTTCTCCTAATAATGTTTTGAAGTTAAAAAAATAAAATAAAAATAAATAAATAAAAATTATATTACTA